AACAATAGCAATATTTTTTCAAAGTCTTCATTATATTATAGTAAGACTAGATAAGGACCCAGAATGATTCAACAGCCAGTTCTTTGATCAGGGCCTTAAGTAGTCGATGCTCAGAACTGAAATGAATGAGAGAGTTACATAAGCATCATGCAACCCATTTTGAGACTCAGTGTAATATATGAAAATTAATGAGATCAAATATATGCATTGAGCTCTAAGTGCCCAGAACTGTGATAGGGAATGAGGATAAAATAAATAGTGGTCAAAAGGTCTAGGAAGATAAATTAGCCGAATTCTCATAGAAATGCCATAATTAAGAAACTAGAAGTGTGAAGTTGAGCGCTGTATATGCTGGAGAGATCTTATGATCTTCCTTGAGCCCTGGGAGGTGCGTGGGGGCCAGGCTGTGAGGGGTGCTGTATGTAGCCTACTCTATGGGATTTCATAAGCAATGGGAAGTCTGTAATGAACCTCAAGCAGGGGACTTGAAATAATTTGGTTTTCATGTTTACTGATTCTATTTTCTTCCATATTTCCATTAAGTAAATTGTTAAAAATAATAGCTGCTAAATTCTGGATATAATTTTAATAATGGTTCCAAGGGGAAATGTTATTTTTGTGGGAAAAGATTTATTTTACAAAAATAAAAAAAGTCAACTGAAAAATGTGATTTAATTTTTAAAAATTTGTTTTCAGATAACATCTCTAAGAAGGTGTCTCCTGAGCTTTATTAAGAAGATAGAAGGCCACTGAAGGAGACATGATAATGCTTCCTGTACTGGCAGTGGTAGAAACAATCATGTGTTATCATGCAGTTGTGCTCCTTGAGGTTGTGAAAAAAAGAAACGGGCTCTCTACACTGACATTACTTTGTCATGAGACTACAGGAGGAAGTAAGAAAGGGCAAGTAATACTGTCCACAGCCATGAGCGATTCAGAAGGTGCTGGAAGAGCGACATGGAAACACAGAAGCCCTGGGTCTTATGGTAAGGTGAGCCCCTCAATTGTCAAGGCATCCATTGCTCCTACAGTGGTACTCGGCCATACATGCAGCTTCTCGGGGGCAGTGAACAGAGTGGGTAAGAACACAGGCCCTGGAGCACTCACCGCCAAATCAGGGGGCGGGGGGAGTGTGAGGAGAGAGGGGTCTGATTGGTACTGATCATCCTCTATCTGACAACCTTCTTTGGCCTCTGCCTTGTAGGCCACAGGACAAACTAGATAGCACCTTCTGGTGGTCTCGATTCCTTGGCTGAGCTAGTCCCATGATGGGTAGTATGGCACCTTATATGTAAGAGACCACGGGCACTGCCTTTCTCAAAGGAGGCAGGACAAGCACTCAGAGGACCATGGCCCACAATCTGCTCCTCAAAAGCTGTGTGCTACACACAGAGAGTGAATAAATGAATGGAGTTGACTAAACAGCATACTCACAATCAGATGACCCGGTGCATGCATTCGTGCACCAGTTGGGTCCCTCGACCTGGCCTGCAGAGATTGGGCCATAACCAGTTCTCTGACATCCCCAGAGGGGTCTCAGATTGCGAGAGGGCGCTTCTCAGGTGAAACACCCCGGAAATGGACTCCCTCCTTTCTGGTTTCAGGTGCATCACCTGAAAACTGCAGCTGCCAAGTCACCACAGCTCAGTAGCTCCTGCATTGAGCATCTGCTTCCTGGGAGTCAGTGCACGTCTTAGCTACTGGTCAGATGGTCTAATAATCGGATGGTCACTTAGGCTATAGATATAGATATAGATATAGATACAGATACAGATATAGACATTTATTATTACATAATTATATACAGCAATACAATAGTATATATTATATGTAATAATAAAGGAACTGACTTAACTAAGCAATATAAAATAAAGTGCAAGTTTAGAAAGAAACAGAACACTTAAAAACATTGCTAGCACACTTCATGATTAGTTTTAAGAGAAAAACTCACTGTTTCTATGGAAACTGCATTTATTAGTAATCTTATGTTGGCATCACTAGCATACTTGTTATTATTTTGTTTCCTTTTTTCCTTTTTTAATACAAAATGTCCATTTTAACAAGCTAAGTTAGGAAATGTCATAGGTTTGGTTATGTCTATCTGAGAGTAAAAATCATTTAATTTTTTTTCATGAAAATTATCAAGCTTCACAAATGAGGAGATAATAATATAATAACCCCTCCATGTACCCACTTAGCATCGGCAATCGCCAATGTCAGACAGTCCTATTTTGTCTACGTCCTCCCCCTTTTGTTGAAAGATGAAAGTGAAATTCTCATGTACAAAGAAACAAAAATGTTATAAGGTCCAGCTTCAAAGAAGAAATTCTATGCTCCCAAGTGTATAAATTTTCTTTATAGAACATCTTTCTTTCCATTCCTTCAGCCATTACCCAAATTCTGTTAGTGGCCATGGAAATGCCTCCTATGATGGCATAAAGAAAGTAATCTCTTTATTTTTTTTTTCCTGCCTCCAAATAAGAATATGATAACTCAAGTCCACAGTCCTCTGGGATTCCACAGATCTGCTTTAGCCAGTCTGTGAGATCTCAGGAAATGTCTGTATATATTTTTACATTTATTTTCTTCATACAGGAGAGTCCCAAAGCTTCTATCAGATTCTAACACAGGCCTGTTACCTACAAATGGTTAGGCATGTCCTGAAAGCATAGCAAACATACTTCCTCACTTGCATTCCTTAGCCAGTTCATATCAAAATCCTTCACCTGTCACCACCTCCAGGATGCCTTCCCTGACCACCTCACCTATAACTGATTTCCGACATGTTTTCTTGCAGAATTTAAACCAAGCTTTTGTATTTATCGCAATTCGTTGAGATCTCATTCACTCAAACATTTATGTGTATGTACCATGCACTATACTATACTCATTTGGGTGTGCTTTCTCCTCTTGCACTGTGAGAAGAGGGCAAGGACCATCACAGTACCAGTATGTACCTGCATCCCAGGAGGTCTGGTTGTTGTAGCTACATTGAATGGAAGCAAAAATGAGCAGTGGCACTTCTGTGGGCTGGCATTCAGCTCCGGAAGAACATGTAAAACTAGGTTCATGATTTTTTTTTTTTTGCTTTTCTTTTTATATGCAAAAAGATGACATTTTTAGAAAAGGGAAATGTCAATCTGAATATCCTGGGCATAGTGATAAAGATTTTCTCCCCTACACCAACAGACCTTGGCACTAGAAAACTATTCCAGAACCAAATGATATATGCTGATCTCCACTCCCTCTTGGACAGCAGAGCAGTTACTGAACGTGCTAACTTGTCGATTTGGGGCACAAGCATCTTGGAATGTACCCAGGCCCCTGGTCCTTACCGGGTTGTTTAATAGCAGAGGTTGAAGATTATCATGCTAAAGACCTGGCAGAAAGATTTTAGGTAGGACCTTCTAACCCAATGGTCAGCAAACTCATTAGTCCACAGAGCCAAATATCAACAGGACAACGAGTGACATTTCTTTGGAGAGCCATAATTTTTTAAACGGAAACTTCTTCTAATGCCACTTCAAAATAGACTCGCTCTCGGGTTGTGGTATTTTGTGGAAGAGCCACACTCAAGGGGCCAATGAGCCGTATGTGGCTCGAGAGCCACAGTTTGCCGACCACGGTTCTAACCTAACTGCCATCCCTCCTTCTGATAGACACTACTATGACGGGGCTAGTTTTGCAAAACTCTTAACAGATGAAGCCTCCTGTGTTAGTGACCAGTCTGATAACGGCACCTTGGCCTTGGCCCCTTGGATGTCCGGCTATCCAGTGCACTCCATGGCAACCTTTCCCTAGAAGTTGTGGGCCAGGAGCACACACCCACACACACACACTCACACTCACACACACACACACACACACACACACACACACTCACCCACACACACACACTCACACACACACACTCACACACACACACACACACACACACACACACACACACACACACAGAAAAGACGCCCTGAGGTTAAAGCATCCCGCTGTTGTCAGGTGTTGCAGGTATTGCGTTGCTCTGGGCGGACCAGGTGTATTCGCCCCGGTGTGTGTCCTCTCCATGCAGGATGGGCCATGCCAGGAAGGAGAAACCAGAGGGCGCGGGGAGGAAGCAGGAAGCTCTCCCCCCATCTCGTGGCAGAGGCTGGCTTCTCGGGCACTTTGGGGCGGGGCGTCCCCACGGGCTAGCGGGAGGCGACAGCCCTCGGGCTCTGCCCAACGCCCAGCGCCTCTCCCGGGCTGTCCTGGGCCGGGCGGACCCCTCCGGAGCGGAGAGGGCGGGTCGGGGAGGCGGGGATGGCGATGGGGGCGGGGAACTGCGCTCCCGGAACTGCGGGCGGTCACTCCGCTGCTGCCACCCCGACCACCTGAGGCCCCCGAACCCCCCACCCCGCTCCCCGCTCCCCGCTCCCCGCTCCCCACTCCCCTCGGGGCGTGCCCGGGAGGGCGGGGCGCAGCCGGATCGGGCCACGGCGGAGGAGGAGCTTGCGGCCGGGCCACCCCCCGGCTCTGCCCGCCGATCCACTGCCCGGAGGCCTCCCTCCAGGGCCCGGGCTGCAACTCTTCTCCCCGGCAGCCCCGCTCCGCGCCCGCCCGGACCCCCTCCGTCTATTTTTTGTTTTGTTTTTTTCTCTTGCTGCTTTCCTTCTCCCTCTTAAAATAGGTCACGCGGTGCAAGTTACACCTGGTGCAGCCTCCGCCTCCGATGCAAAAGCAGCTTTTCCTCCCCAGCTCCCGGAGAGCATTGCAACTCTTGGGTTCGGTGGAGCTTCCCGCCCCCGTACGGTGCAGGAAGCTCGCAGACCTTGCAGAGCGCGGCTCTTCACCATGGTCCGCGGAGGGGAGCGGCGGGCAGCCCGCTGTCCAGCCTAGGGCAGCCCGGCTCTGCGCCTGCCTCCTCCCCCTGCCCTCCTCCCCCTGCCCTCCTCCCCCTGCCCTCCTCCCCCTGCCCTCCTCCCCCTGCCCTCCTCCCCCTGCCCTCCTCCCCCTGCCCTCCTCCCCCTGCCCTCTCCGGGGGACCCCGGGAGGAGGGGGCGCGACAGATCGGCTCACTTGCGGAGCGCCTGCGACCGGCGTCTGGCCGCCCGGTGAGTTTCTTTTGTCCTCCCTGTGGCCCAGGGTGACCTGTGTACATTGCAAACTTAGACGTGATCCACGCAGGCAGGCGAGCCTGCCCTGCGGATGGGGACTGCGGAAGGTGCTTCCCTCCCGCTCCCCCGGGCAAACCAGAGCTCCGAGCTGCAGGGGACGTGCTTGGTGTCTTTGAAGGTGAGAATGAATGTCTGCTTTCCTGGAGAGAGAGAGAGAGAGAGAGAGAGAGAGAGAGAGAGAGAGAGAGAGAGAGAGAGAGAGAGAGAGAGAGAGAGAGAGAGTGCGCGCGCGCCGTTTCCTGTAGAAGCTGTCGTTTGGGAACGGATTTTTAACGAGCAGCAGGCGGAGAACTGAGGTGACTGGAAGTCAGAAAGTTGTTTAGAATATTGTTGTTGTTGATCGGAAAGAACTGACTGACACAATCCAAGAGAATGGCTTAAGAAGGTACATCCAAATGGGATGGGAGGATTTGCATAATGTTGGCTAATATGTATGTTTGGGGGTATTGGCTTCTCTCTTGGTGATAAATGTGATAAGCGTGCAGTGCTTCATGGAGAAAGGGGGTGAGGTTACAAATAGAAACATCTGCGCGCACAGCTTCATATGTTCGTTGGCATGTAAATGTGCATGAACAGCTCGAGTGGGCAGAGAGCCAGAATATATGTATATCGTGTTGTGGTTAAGGTTATTGGCAATGTTACAGGCAGCGACTGGCATTTAACCCCTTGTTTCAGCCCATAAAAGTACTATTATTAGCGTGACTTACAATCCTATCGAGTCCTTGAATGGCGTCACCGGCTAATCAATGGTTAATTTGTTCTGAATTTGAGGGGGGGGGGGGGGGATTGTAGATTTTCCTGTCCTTGACAGCTGGCTGAAGATGCGGTGCACCGGACTCAGATCGGCGAGGGTGGCTTTAGAGTCCCCCGAAAGGGAGAGACTTGCCCACCGCCGCCTTCTTTTTTAATATACTTTTATCGATTTCAGAGAGGAAGGCAGAGGGAGAGAGAGACGGGAACATCAATGATGAGAGAGAATCATCCATCAGCTGCCTCCTGCATGCCTGCTACTGGAGAGGAAGCCCTCAGCCCTGGGGACGTGCCCTGACGGGGAATCCAACTGTGGCCTCCTGGCTCAGAGGGCAAAGCTCACGCCTTCCAAAGGAAACCGTGGCGGTGTGGAAGGCGCCTCCCCGCTAAGGAAACCGCGCCAGGGAGGCACTGCATCATGAATGCATTTGGTCAGAACCGAGAAGGGCACTCTTTATAAACTCTTTTGTAGATGAAAAAGAAATCCTCTTTCTACAAAGATTCAATTACTGAAACGACGTTCTTTGGAAATAATTGGTCCTTTTGTGTGTGCTCTTAATATAGCGAAAGCACCAAAGCAGTTCAGAGGTTATAATCAGTTTTATTTATTGGAGGGATGTGAGGTTGAAAATGCCATCGGCATGCTTAACTCTGCCTTGCAATGGAGGGGCAGAGGGCTGCCCCATCAACCTGCAGTCTCTGTCCATGTGTACCTCTGAAGCCAAAACTTATGGTGGTTAAGGACCATAAAGAATGTTTTAAATCTCAGGATATTTCTTTTTTTAAAAAATATATTTTTTATTGATTTCTTACAGAAAGGAAGGCAGAGAGATAGAGAGTTAGAAACATCAATGAAAGAGAAACATCAATTCAGCTGCCTCCTGCACACCCCCTGCTAGGATGTGCCTTCAATCAAGGTACGTGCCCTTGACCGGAATCGAACCCAGGACCTTTCAGTCCGCAGGCTGCCGCTCTATCCACTGAGTCAAACCTGTTTTGGCAGGATATATCTTTTTTTGAATATAGTTTTATTGGTTTCAGAGAGGAAGGAGAAGGAGATAGAAACATCAATGATGAGAGAGAATCATTGATCGGCTGCCTCCTGCACGCCCCACACAGGGAATCGAGCCAGCAACCGCAGCATGTGCCCTGACTCGGAATCGAACCGGGTCCTCCCAGTTCATAGGTTGACGCTCAACCACTGAGCCATGCCAGCCTGGCTCTCAGAGCATTTCTGACAAGTGAATATGTGAATACTTATGTGCATTTCACTTGTGAAGAATTCGTATGCACCTCTGGAAAGCTAGTTTTCAAAATCTGAAACGCATTATGACAGGACTCTGTCACTGCCTGGAAGAAGGCATGAAGGGCAGGGCAGGCTTGGCAATGGACAGGAGCTTAATGTTGGAGGGGCGGGGGGAAGGCTACTAAATCCTGTGTTTGCTGCACGTTGATGTCCTGGATTGTGTTTTAGGTAGGAATTGAGTGAGGCTCTCATTGTCATTTAGCCCTTGGTATAATGCATTGTTGAGATGCGGCTGTCAGAACTTGTCTGTGCAATCTTTTGTCTTTACAAGTAGATAAATTAGGAAATGTTCTGATGAGAGTGGCATGAAAGTATTAAGACTCTGGGGATTTATTTAAGGACAGACTGAAGGAACTATTATAAATAGCAAGCCTAATTCTAGCATAGTTCAGTCCCTGGTAAGATTGAAATTATAGGACTAAGTGACCAGTTGAATGTCCTTCAGTTTTTGCAATTCTCTTCTTTTTTAAAAAGTATCTTTTTATTGATTTCAGAGAGAAAGGGAGAAGGAGAGAGAGAGAGAGAGGGAGGGAGGGAGGGAGAGAGAGAGAGAGAGAGAGAGAGAGAGAGAGAGAGGCATCAATGATGAGAGAGAATTATTGACCGGCTGCCTCCTGCATGCCCACACTAGGGATCGAGTTCACAACCTGGGCATGTGCCCTGACCAGGAATCGAATCATGACCTCCTGGTTCATAAGTCGATGCTCATCTCCCCAAGCCACACCTGCCAGGCACAATTCTCTTCTCTTGATGTCATAAGAGTACATAGCATAGACCTCTGGCCAAGAGGACTCCAAAAGGAGGTGACCTCATTCACTTTGGGTACTTCCCTCCAGCAAGGACTGTGGGCAGGACAGTGTCTTTGAAGAAGGAAATGTGTGTCAATGATGCGAGAACAGTAGGCCTGGGCTGTGATACACATAACCTTTTTTTAGGTTAAGAATTACAGTCTCAGTAGAATTCTTAATTCTTTTGTATAAACTTCTTACCTTGAATTTTTTTTTCAGACTACTTTATTGAATTATAAAAAGGATATTTATAATCAACTTTTTAGCTGACCAGAACCTAGACCATAATTCATTGCCAGCTCTTTGCATTACTGTCTGACTTTAAAACCATATATAGCATTAGCTGTGTTTACTCAATGGTTAGAGCATCAGCCTGTGGACTGAAGGATCACAGGTTCGATTCCAGTCAAGGACATATCCCTTCGTTGCAGGCTTAAGCCCCAGCCACCCCTGGTAGAGACATGTGCGGGAGGCAACCAATCAATGTATCTCTCTCACAACGAAGTTTCTCTCTAAAAATCAATGAAGAAAAAATAAGACTCTGGGGATTTATTTAAGGACAGACTGAAGGAACTAAATAGCAAGTTCCTTGGGTGGGGATTAACAACAACAACAAAAACTATATATATATATATATATATATATATATATATATATATATATATATATTCTATATAGGATAAATGAAAATATACAAAATAAGTACATTTATACCGTTTGACTCTGTCTATTCAAGAGCTTAGAGATGGACTCACTTCTGGAGTCTGGAGCTGAGAACTGCTGAGCCCCACTCGGAGAAGCTGTGACACAGGTCCTGCTGCTCCCACCCTCGGTGGGTTGCCATCTGCGAACATCCAGGCAAGGACATGTGAAGTGTAGGGGTCTCAGGTCCCTACCAGGCTATTGTCCTTAAACCCCATTCATAGTGTATTCTCAGGATGGTACTGTTTAAATCTAACATTATATTTTCATTTGATTCATTGTAAGGGAAAAGAAGAGGTGTTAATATTTCTGTTATAGTAGCTTATTAATGAACTCTAATTTCAGCATCTCCTCCCCACCCCCAATTTTCCTCTTTCATTCATGTCAGCCAACATTCAAGAGAAAAAGCTGGATTTTCCTCCCTTTGGATTATAAGAGTCATGAATTCTTGTCTTTAGCTTTCTGGGGCTAAATTAAAGATTAAGTGGTAGGACACAACTCCTTTTTATGGATCAAAAATCAAAATGACCCTTTGATTTGCTGAGTGGATATGTAATAGAAAAACATCCGCTATCTGCAATGGCCAATGTGCTGAATTAAAGTCAGTAGAGAGAGCACACATTTTTTTTGAAAGCCCAATTTGAGGACAACCAGGAAGACCAGAACTCGAACATCACTGAATGGTTTGTTTATTCGCTGACGCAGGAAATGGAAGCTCTTTTGTACTGGACTTGGTGCGAAGTGTATGGCTCTGCCCTTGAGAGGCCGGTGGTCTGGGGGAGAGAGCAGTAAAGGGTTTTGGTGATTTGAGACGCTTATCTCAGGGTGGAGAACAGTGGCTTTTTCAAAGAGAAAGTGGTGTGTTCTGCCCTGGGGAGGTAAACAGTGGAGTTCATTGAAACACCAGCATTCTACTTCAGGTCTCTATGGATTTGACTAGTCTAGCTCTCTGACATCAGTGGACTCAAACAGTGTTTTTCCTTTTGTGTCTGGCGTATTTCACTGAGTATAATGTCCCCAAGGTTCATCCATGTTGTAGCAGGTGTCAGAGTTTCCTTTCTTTTTACAGCTGAATACTATTTCATTGTATGTACATACCATGCTTTGTTTATTCAATCATTCATTTGTAGATGGATGCTTAAATTGCTCCATTTGGCTATTGTGAATAGTGTTGGTATGAACCTGGGCGTGCAGATATCTCTGTGAGCCCTTGCTTTCAAATCTGATTTTTAAAAAAATATATTTTATTGATTTTGTACAGAGAGGAAGGGAGAGAGATAGAGTTAGAAACATTGATGAGAGAGAGTCATCGATCAGCTGCCTCTTGCACACCCCCTACTGGGGATATGCCCACAACCAAGGTACATGCCCTTGACCGGAATCGAACCCGGGTCCCTTCGGTCCGCAGACCAACGCTCTATCCATTGAGCCAAACCGATTTCGGCTCAAATCTGATTTTTAAACGAAAAAAATTAAAAGTGGAGAGGGAGCTGAAACCAGTTTGGCTCAGTGGAGAGAGTATCCGCCCTTGGACTGAAAGGTCCCAGGTTCGATTCTGGTCAAGGGTATGTA